CTTGGCTAGTCATAGGCATAATCATTGGTTGATAGGCTCTCAAATAAGCCTCTTTCTTGTACACTGCATCACAAAAGTCCTCTGGATTCCCATGAAACCAACTTATTGCAGCACATGCATGCAAACATGGTATTCCATTCAAATCCCAAGCATGGCATGAACAAGAGTGGCCATTCAAATCAACAGCAAAGGTGCGGCCACTATGGTGCATTACTTCAAACTGATTCTGTCCAGCAGCCTTAGGAATGCACCACTGAGCTTTTGCTTTGTTTTTCTCTAATATCTTTCTAATTCTTGGCCCAACTTGTCCATGCCATTTCTCACAGAGAACCCTTCTTCCCGCCATCAACAACATTATATACAACCGAATTCTTTCTAGCATAGTCAGAATAGGCTTGTCTCGGGCATCTAGTATGCTACGGTTGAATGCCTCACATAGATTGTTCATAAGCATGTCACACTTGGAATCAGTCTTGAAATATGCCCTACTCCAATGCCTAGGATCTTTCTCCATGAGCCAATCATGTGCAGGTTTAGACAACTGCAACATCTTTGTCATCTCTGCATGAAACCATGGCACTGTTGTGGCTCTAGCAATTGCTTCCATTTGATGTTTCAAGGCAAGACCTCTATGTTCCAAATAGAAGTTCCCATATAGATGTTTCAAACAATGTCTATGCTCTGCCTGAGGGAATAGAGCATTCACAGCATCTATTAACCCTTTTTGTTTGTCAGTCATAAATACATAACCATGGCTATTCGTAATATTGAGATCACCACTCAATAATTCTAAAAACCACAGCCATGTTGAATTGCTCTCAATCTCTACATATGCATAGGCAAGTGGAAACATTCCGTTGTTTGCATCAACTCCCATTGCAGAAAGCACTTGCCCAGGGTGAGGCCCTTTGACATGACACCCATCCAAGCAAACCACAGGCCTACAACCATCTAAAAACCCCTTCTTGCAGGCTGCAAGACAGATGTAAATTCTTTGAAACCGTGGCCTATCACCTTCCATTTCAGATTTAATGATAACTGTACTTCCCACATTCCTGGTTCTTAACTCATGACAATATTCCCACAATACTTCATATTGTTTGCTGTAAGACCCCTCTACAATGTCAACTGCCATGGCTCTTGCTCTGTACACAGTTGCTCTAGATGGTCTGTAACCATAGTCTTGGTGAACTTGCTCTACAAAAGAAGCAGCAGTCCAATTTGGATTGAGCCTTAACTGCCCAGAATATCTTTCAGCCAACCAGCCAGCAGTAGCATGTATATTTTTAGTCCCCTTGCTACAAACATGTGTAGGATTAAAGGTTTTCACCTGCAGGTAAGTGCTACCACTAACACTTGAAGCATAGATAACAAAAGGACAGCCCTCTTCACATACTGCTCTTATTTTGTTACGGTCATTATGCATAAAAATCAACTCCCTTCCACAATTAATGGAGTATATCCTCACAGCTTTTCTAAACAACTCGGCAGTTGCAAACCTTAAACCTATTTTGAAACTTGGGCTTCCCATATCAATTTCAGGTCTGAAATCTTCACCTTTTGGCATCCTATTCTTCTTCCTTCTTACTTCACCCACTGCATCATCTTCACTTTGTGAACTATTTGGGCAGGTAAGTGTAGGTGACTCTTCTCCATTGTCTGACTCATCATTTTGCTCTGCATTAGGATCATTGTCAAAAATACTATGATCCACATAACCTTCAAACCACTTATCATCATTCTTCAATAATTCAATCTCTTCATCACTCTGTGCATAGTCACTGTCTTCAAAGTCTGGATCACTGCTATCATCATTCTCAGAACAAGAATATTCTTTATCACTGCTATCATTCCCCACTTGGCTTGAAGTTAAGCTCACTACCTTCAAGTACAAAACTACAACCCTGCTATTGCTTTTAGGTACCATGCTCATACAAGCTAAAAGTGTACTATAAGATATTATTTGAATGAGTCTGCTAGTTCCAAACTCTTCACCATAAAAACTCACATCATACCCATCGCCATATCCCAAATCTTTAGCCATTCCAAATAACTCTAACATGGACATATAGTCAACCTCACAGTAATCAAACCAACTGACTTCACCACCTAAATAAGACCACTGACTGTCCTTTCTATTTTTCACTAGTTTACCTCCATGGAAAAACTTAAATGTGACAACCTCATCAGCATCTTTATCTGCGTAATAGGAACATTCACTTAACAAATGGAAAAAAACACACAAAGAGAAAAGAAGGACCACACAAAGGATAATACAAGGAACACCCAAGGACCACATAAGGTATATTGGGGCCAGCACAGAATAAAAAAATATATGAAAGAACAAAAAAATTTCGAGCAACACACCACACTAGGAACATGCAAGGACCACACAATGATCACACCAGAACCAGCAGAGTCAAAAAGTATACAAAAAACAAAAACAAAATCCTAACAACAGTTCAATGCACATGCCAAAATCAAGAAAATCGAGTAACAATGGGTCCACTTACATATGGGTTGACAACCTCCAGATTCTCTAAGCACCACCATCTTCGCACCTTCTAGCCTTAGAGTCTAACGCCAACGAATGATTTCTTCTCCAATTTCTCCCAAAATCGAAGGAACCCTCAGATTTTGACAACAACCCTCTTCTCCTCTTCTCCTCTTCTCCAATGAACCCTAAACCCAATTTCCCCTTTGTTACAAACTGAGAAACCCTTATTCGAACAGCTTAAAGGTTAAAACGAAGTGGGGGCCCACTACTCGTAACGGACCGTCAAGAAATTTGACGGATGGGGTAAATTGAGACGGTTATTTATACGTTGGGGGGTACTTTGAGACGATTTCCACCACAGGTGGTAATATGAGAAAAACGTAAAAGCACAGGGGGCATGTACATAATTAAGCCATATATATATATTTATAATTATACTTATATTATATGGGGGTTTGAGACATCTTGTTTAAGAGTCGGTTTGTTTTACACGTAAGGTTGTAAAGTATGTATGTGAGTACTTGTGAGGGTTGTTTGGGAATTGTTGTTTTGCAACATACGCCTTGGATAGAGTACAGTTGTAGGAAAGAGTTTATTATACTTTCAGCACCAGCTTGGAATGAATTTAAGTGGTGAAGAAATGTTCAGGAAAGAAATGTGCTCAATGGTTCGGAATTGAAATGTGGAATTTTGGAACTGATGAATTATGAATACTGGTTTTCTTAATAATATATTTTACATATGGTCTTTATTTTCGAGGATGGCATGCTATGCTTATGTTCTTTTAATTCTCTATCGACATTTTCAGCATGCTGCCAGTGCAAGCCATGGCATGACAATTTTTGAAAAATTCAAAACAAAAAAAAAAAAAAAAAAAATATTTACCACTTCCTTTAGAAGCCATGTTACTTTTTGCTTCTTTTTTTAGTGCATATAACTCTGTTTTTTTTCTTTGAACATAGCACCCATTGAGCTATAACTCGACTAGATTGCAAATTTACCCCAAACCCTCTTGTAGTAGTAAATTACGACCTTAATTAAAGAAATCATCAAGTGCAGACTAATAACTTATAAAAGAACACAAGGACTATCCATCAATATAATAACATATCGAAACTTAGTACCTGATCTCAAAGGAATTATTGCAATTAATATTTTCAGTTTCAAATAAAAACAAAAAACAAAAAAAGATAGCCTTTCTTCTCGAAATTAGCTTAAGTGATTTGCATTTGGAAAATTGAAATGATCAAGTTCCTTGTCTTTTTAATAGGGCTTACTTATTGGTTGTGTTTGATCATGAAAGGGGTGGAAAGGGTATTTTTGCATGTACTTAGTAGGTGCTTTCTTTGCCATGTGTTAAAGTAGATAGAGCCACTTAAAACTATTCTAGTTAACTTTGCTATGAGGGAACCGGCAGCTACCTGGAAGTTCAATGGAAGTTTATGTAGATTTTTCTCATTATCTGAGGTTTTCTTGATATTGCAATTTTTCTTTGGTTCAAGTCCAACGGTGATTGGGAAGAAAGGAAAACAAAAGACAATAACGAGGAAAAGGGTTACGATATATACTTTTAAGAGTCTAAATGAATAATTAATATGCTTGCGAGTAATTGAATTTTTGATTTTTGGATACTCTTCTTCAGGTGTTCAAAAATCCACATCACCTAACACGGGCCATTTCTTGATATTTATTTTTTGAACATGGACCATTTCAATTTCTTTGGGCTTTTGTTTTCAATGTCAATTTCATGTTGCAGCGTGTCGAGAACACCTAACATGAACCATTTCGAGATATTTATTTTTTGAACATGGACCATTTCAATTTCTTTAGGCTTTTGTTTTCAATGTCAATTTCATGTTGCAGTTAGGGTGTCGAGAAAACCTTATTTTTTGAACATGGACCATTTCAATTTCTTTAGGCTTTTGTTTTCAATGTCAATTTCATGTTGCAGCTAGCGTGTCGAGAAAACCTAACATGAACCATTTCGAGATATTTATTTTTTGAACATGGACCATTTCAATTTCTTTGGGCGGCTTTTGTTTTCAACTTCAAAGTCTTGGGCTTCTTTCCCTTTAAAACACGGCAATCCTTGGTCTTCATTACCATTATTCCTTGCATTGCAGATTTTCACGTTCTTGTTGTTGGTTGCATTGCGATGTCTCTAAGCAGGCTATCAATTTTCCGTCTTCAATCCTTGATAAACTGCTCTGTTGTTCTCTTCATGTTCTTCAATTTTTCCAACCCTTTGTTCATCCACTTTCCTTCAGCATCAATGACTTTAGTCGAGATGCAAACAACATACTCTATGAAGGTGATGCCGCGCCTTCTTCAGGAGTGATTGAACTCAGCACGAACACAGCCACAGATCCACAGGATATATATTGCCGCACTGGCCGGGCTACGTATGCAGAACCTTTGCACTTATGGGACTCTGCTAAACTGGCAGACTTCACTACTAATTTCTCTTTCATTATCGACACTGTTCAAATAATACCACTTGGTGATGGACTTGTGTTTTTCCTTGCCCCTGTTCACTATCCAATTCCACCAAACTCTGCTGGTGGTGATCTAGGATTATTAAACACCACTACTCGTTTTGACAAAGCATCCCAAAACCAAATTGTAATGGTTGAGTTTGACACTTTGCCAAACTCATGGGATCCACTCTGGGCCACACGTTGGGATCAATATCAATACCATCTCCTCAGTTGTTAATGCCCGTTGGGATGCTCTCGGCAACGGTGGGAAGAAGGCTCACGTACAGATAACTTACAGTGCTACCACCGAGAACCTCACTGTGTTTTGGAAATATGAGGAAGATACTGATGTGGCCATCACTTCGCTTTCTCACCCTATTGACCTGAGAAAGGTTCTCCCAGAGTGGGTTACAATTGGATTTTCAACTGCCAATGGCTGTGAGGCCCGAGAGCGGAATGCTATATATACATGGGATTTCAGTTCAAACTCAAAGGAATTAAGTACCAAAAAGGAGAGGAGGTTATTCTCGATTGGGGCCGTTGCAGTTTCTGTCTTCATTTTGATTCTTGGTGTAGCCATATGCTGGTTGGTGGTAAAGAGGCGGAAAAACAGGATTGATGAACATGGAAATGACTCCAATTCAGTAGCCTCTACAGATCTTGTGTGGCAAGCCTTGCCAAGACGATTTTCTTATGAGGAATTAGTTGCAGCCACCAATGACTTTGCAAACGACAGAAGGCTAGGCCAAGGAGGGTCAGGGAAAGTTTATAAAGGAATCATACAACATCTAGGCTGCACAGTTGCTGTGAAGAGAATCGTCCCAGAATCCGAGCACTATGAGAAAGTCTTCATCAACGAAGTGAAAATAATAAGCCGCTTGATACACAGGAACCTGGTGCAATTCATTGGATGGTGTCATGAGCAAGGCGAGTGCTTACTTGTTTATGCATACATGCCTAACGGCAGCCTTGACACGCATCTATTCGGCTCTAGAACAACCTTGCAATGGGATTTGAGGTACAAGATAGCTTTAGACTTGGCCACAGCCGTTCATTACCTGCATGAAGATGCAGAGACGTGTGTCCTGCATAGGGATATCAAATCAGCTAACATATTGTTGGACTACGATTTCAAGACTAAGCTTGGTGATTTTGGGATTGCTAAGCTCGTGGATCCGCGGTTCAGGACTCAGACAACAGGAGTAGTAGGGACTTTTGGTTACATAGCCCCGGAATATGCAAATAGAGGTAGGGCTAGTAAAGAGTCAGACATGTATAGTTTTGGAGTTGTGGCCTTGGAACTTGCATGTGGAAGGAGGACTTATCAGGATAAAGAATTCCACGTGCCGCTTTTCAGGTGGGTTTGGCAGCTGTACCTTGCCGGAAATCTGCTCTCTGCAGCTGATGAGAGATTGGATATGAATTTTGTTCCAAATGAAATGGAATGCTTGTTAATTGTGGGATTATGGTGTACTCATCCCAACAACAAGGAAAGACCAAAAGCAGGGCAAGTGATGAGGGTTCTTCAGCTTGAAGCACCATTGCCTCAACTTCCAAAAGACTTGCATGATCATCCGCCACCTCAACCTCAACAAGAAGCTGGTTCCTCTCTGCAATCATTAACTTCTAGTTTCGAAACTGTGGGTCGTTAAAGTAGTATACCAAACAACTTCAAGGGCAAATAGATGAAGTTAAATGTAGGGATGTTCATTTCAGTGTTAATTCTTCTTATTTAGGAAGGGGGGAAATATGTGTGTGGCTGAGGGTGTTATCTGGATTTGGTGGACATCAGTTTACACCACTTATAACATTTTCTATTCTAAAATTTTGTGTATCTTTCTTAACTGATTGCTTGACCCGCTAGATGATATGCATGATCACCCGACAGACAAAAACTGATTAGTTCAAACAATTTGTCATGATGAAGCAAATCACTCCAGCTTGCAGCTAAAAGTCAATGTAGAAATTTGGCTTAGGGTTTTGAACTTTGAACAGCATTTCCCTTATTCGAAATTTGTCATATCGTGAATTCAGTTTCTTAAAACAAAAATGAAAAAAATATATAAAAGAATGTTAAGAGGATGTGAAGGAATGCCGATGACATTAACAGGAGAAAGACTTCTATGTAACGAGGATAAAACTATTTTGCTATCTTCTACCAATTACGTCATGATACGTGTGACAACACTAACACATGACATAGCATTATCTGTCAGGGATAACAAAACAGTGCTATTTCCGTTGCAACTAAGTTTTTCTTCATTAACAGAGAGTCTTACTTATGCTTTGCGCTTTGGAATATTTTAATTTCCCTATCAAGTGGGCTTAAATTTTTGTTATAGCCCAATTGCAAATATAGGCCTGTTGGGTGAGGGCCCAGTTTTGTTTTTCATTTTTCACCGTCCGGCTTCAACGTTCGAGAAGCGTAACGAGGGAGGAAGAAAGGGTTTCTGGTTCTAGACCAGATGAACGACGGCTCAGCCTCCGACTTTAGTGATGATACTGAGCTCCACGCGGCACGTTCGCTTTCTGTTATAAACGCAGCATTTGATTTGGCAGAAAACCCCAAGAAAGCAAACTGGTAGCAGCGTTCGAAAAATCGGCCTAGGCTGGAAGAATTGCCGCAATTTAACCCTAATTGTTAGGGGGAGACGGCAGGAAGTTAGGCTGCGCCTGGGCGGGTCGGGTCCTTTAAATATATATATTTTTTTTTCCAGAGCTCAGACCCTTAGGCATTGGTAACAAAAGCTTACGACTTTCACAGTTTGTACAAATTTCTCATTGAAATTATTGCCATTAATATTTTTCAGTTTTAGACAGGCTACTGTTTTACCAAAAAAAAATAATGATGGTCTTTCTTCTCGTGATTTGCATTTGGAAAATGGAAATGATCAAGTTTTATTTAATTCGCTTTGCAGTTTAATAATCCATTAGGAAGATACTTGGCTAATCTCTTTGGTAAACCTTATTTTTGATATGGTAATTTAATGAAATGACGTTGAATTTGAAAATCAAGATGTGCTCAAATTTGTTTGTATATTCCACTGCTATTGCTGAAAATTATTCAAACATGTAGTTGAGTTGAGTAGGTGTTTGATTACACAGAAAGAAATAAACAAAAACACTTTGGCTACCTCCTTCATTCTACCCTTGTTTACAATTCCATTTTACAAAATCCCATTCATTCCATTTTATTCACACTGCACGAAAACATTCATCCGTCAATGGAGTGTCAAATGGTTTGATGAAACCAACTACTTATTTCCTAAATTTGTAACATCCCGACCCTAAAATGAAAGAATTAAATTTAAAACATAATAAATAATTAAAATAAGTAAATTAAATAAACTAATATGAATTAATTAATAATAATTATTGAAATTTAATAATTAATATTATTTAAAGGGCAAAATGGTTAATTTCATTTCGGGAAAGAATTTGGCTAAACGAGTTGCGCCCATTATTGCGTCCGGCTCGTCGAAACGAGTCCGTAGACGGGAGGCACGCTCGATTTGGAAAATTAACGAATAAAAAGGACATAATGGTAATTATGGAAATTTATTAAAAAATTATTTAAACCCAAAAATTACCCCAAAACCCCGAGGAGTGCGCGAGTGCACAGTGGCACTCGCCTTCTCTCTCTCCCAAACCCGATCTCCCCTATTCCACTGGACAAAAGATGAGAACTGTATGACATTGACATGGTTGAAGAATTCTCTACCAGTGATGAAGTTGAGCATTCTTGTCCATCCTGCCATCAAAATCCGTTGCATTCAGGTTTCCGAGTGCACTTCCCATTATGTCTTAACGAGTCCTTAACCCATAAGCTCAAACACACGATATCGTATTGACAAGGCAACAAGATAATGAAATATAAGAGAAATGGAAAAAATAAAAGCCTATGATTTTGTTCAATTGAGAAGATGCTAGATACCTTGTGAGAAACACAGTTTTTGAGAATTGCATACACAAACTGTGAAAACCAATCTGGGAGACTAGGCACTGTTCTCAAAATCCAAGAAAGAAACTTCCCCACAGGAAGTTCAACTTCCAAACCCGAGAGCTGGCAATCCCACACATTCAAGCCACTGCCAACTTCAGGGCATGAAACAATAGCCGACGAAACAATCTGATTAATATCCGGCGGAGGTAAATCTGTTTTCCCTTTGGAAATTTTCGAAGTCCTAGAATTCCAGGAAATAGCCCAACACATCCAAGGAAGCATAAGCACGTCCACGGGCTTAAGCGACCCGGTTATCTTACTGTCAACACCATCAGATTTAAAATCCAAGTTCGAAGGCGAACCCGCTTTTTGAAGTGCCACAGCAAACACTCTGAGCAATATATTAAGCGACACAGAGTTTGTTGAAATAATAGACTATAATCTGATTTAGATTTGGATTTTTGATATAGGGAGCTCAAGAGTTAGAAAGGAAAATGAAGAACACAGAGATAGATTTGAGAGGAAAACGATAGCACCCAAAATGTGAGTCTGTAATCTCACTCTTGCATGTCATTGCATTCACGCACATTACATGCTTGATATAAAACCGTTAGGAGTAAGAATATTCCTTTACATCAGCACAATCACACCATCCGTCCTTCTATCCTATGAGATAGAGACACATGGCAGAAACACTCACTTAAAACCTTAGCCGTCCATTGGACTATAATCCAATGGCTCATGGTTAATTACACAGCTAAGCATGCTTAATGAACCTAAACGATTATCACAGCTAAATACACTTATATTTCAACACTCCCTTCCAAGTGTTTACCTGAAATGACACCAAGCTTCTTTCTCAAATACTCGAACCGATCTCTGGCTAGAGCTTTGGTAAATATATCTACAGTCTGCCCTTCTATCTTGCAATACAATAGATCAATATCTCCATTTTGTAAAGCATCACAGATAAAATGGAACCGTCTGTTTATGTGTCTGGTTTTGTGATGGTGTACCGGATTCTTTGTTATGGCTATAGCTGTGGTATTATCACATAGAATTGATGTTGAACGGATCTGTTCTTCACCAAAATCTGAGAGAACAAACCTCAACCACATTGCTTGTGCAGTTGCTTCAGCTGCACTCACGTATTCAGCTTCTGCAGTGGAGAGAGCTACACTGCTTTGCTTGATTGATGCCCAAGAAAAGACACCAGATCCAAGATGGAACGCATATCCAGAAGTGCTTTCATATCATCCTCACTTCCTGACCAATCGCTATCACAATAACCAATTAGCACAGCTTCCTTTCCTCTTTCATAGGCTATGCCATAATCAAGTGTACCTTGTATGTACCTAAGCACTCTCTTAGTAGTTCCCATGTGTTTTATGGTAGGACCATGCATAAATCTGGCTAAGAGACTAGCAACAAACATAATATCAGGCCTTGTTGCAGTCAGATACAACAAACTCCCTACTACCTGCCTGTATAAACTTTCATCAGCTTGTTCACTACCATCCTGCTTAGACAATATCTCATTCACTGCAAGAGGAGTAGCAATTGACTTGCAATCCTTGAAGCCAAACATATCCAAGAGAGTCTTTGCATATTTCTTCTGATGCAAGAAAATATAGGTTTCAGTTTGTATCACTCCTAACCCCAGAAAATGATGTAACAGACCAAGGTCTGTCATTTCATATTGCTTCATCATTTCAGTCTTGAAATCCAACAACAATTCTCTAGAACTTCCAGTATAGATGATATCATCTACATAGAGCGAAACAATAAGAATTCCACTCTCTGCAAACTTCACATATAGAGTTGCCTCACTAAGACTCGTCTTGAAACCAGCCTTCTCAAAATAAGAGTTGATCTCTTCATACCAAGCCCTTGGAGCTTGTTTAAGACCATACAAAGCCTTCTTCAATCTATAAACTCCATCTTCCCTATTTTTAATCACAAAACCAGGTGGTTGATCAACATAAACCTCTTCATGTAGCACTCCATTCAGAAATGCCGATTTAACATCCAACTGAAATAGCTTCCATCCTTTATGTGCAGCCAAAGCTACTAAAATTCGAATTGTATCAAGCCTTGCCACAGGTGCAAAGGTCTCATTGAAGTCTATCCCAGGCTTTTAAGAGTAGCCTTTTGCCACAAGCCTTGCTTTATTCTTCTGAACAGAACCATCCAGGTTTAACTTGGTTTTATACACCCATTTAACTCCACTAACTGGTTTATCAGATGGTCTATCAACCAAGTCCCAAGTGTCATTCTTCTCTATCATGTTAATCTCATTTTCCATTGCTTTCTGCCAAGAATCATCTTTGACAGCTTCTTCAAATGACTCAGGCTCAATGATGCACACATTGCATCTTTCATAGACTTCAGCTATACTTTTAAATTTTCTAGGAGTATGGTCAAAATCCTGAGGACCTGTGACAACTTCAGTGTGTTCTGCTTCACTGTCTTCAGACATTTCTGCTTGAGCTCCATGTGACTCATCAATCTCTTTTCCATTCTAAGCAACAACATCAGTAAGTGAAATTGAAATGCTGCACTCTTTTTGTGCATTCCAATCCCAACTACCTTCCTCATTAAAGATAACATCTCTAGAAAAGATCACCTTGCCTGATTCAAGATTATATAACCTGTAACCTTTTTCACAACTGCCATAACCAAGAAACACACACCTGTTGCTAGTTTGGTCAAGCTTTTGTCTCTGCTACTCTGGAATTTGAGCATAACTCAAGGAACCAAACACTCTTAGATGCTTAATTCCTAGTTTGTCTATGTTCCTTGTTACACTGGTAAATAATAAGTGATCATAATATTTGAACTAGTTACTGTGACTACTGTTATGTATGTTCCTTGTAGCGAACTGAGACTAGTGTTATTTATGCTCTCTTCAAAATGTGTTTCAAGAACTTCGACTTGGCCCCTCAATCCCAATCCCGCTTCATGTGGTTCTCCATGATTGTATTTGGCACACTGATGGTAAGATCACTGCAGGTGCAAGCTTCGTTACCAGTTTGAATGCTGTGTTCTTGATATTTTGGGCGTAAAGGTGTAGTTAGTTTGCCTAAATAGGAAATTACTAATTCTTCCACTCCTTATAGATGCATTGTACTCGTTAGATTATCCTCGTCTGCTCCAACTTCTCTCTAGTTACTGTGAAACATGCTTGAATAATTGCCTCAATACTGTAAAACTCCTCTGTTACTTCAATTCAATTGAAAACCAATTACTTTTCAAAGTGATGCAGCTACTGATGAATACATGTACTAGATCACGTCTCTTACATATGTGGATTCCATTCTAGTACCTGAGTTCATGAGAGATGTAGTGAGAAGTGTGGTCACTAAAAATATGGTGTAAATAATCTCACTATCAGTGTTATTCCAAAGCCTCCTATTTATTTTAACCCATAATCTTTGGGCTCATTTGGGACTGCTTCTCTAGAAAGCACTTCAGCACTTAGCACATATGCAATTTTATTATAAATATAAAAAATTGAAATTTTTATAAGAAATGCTCCTGAGAAAACACATAGAAGTCCACAAGCATACTAATAACACATAAAAGAACACAAGGACTATCCATCAATATAATAACATATCAAAGAAATTCATAAATTCAAATAACACATAAGTAGTACATCCACGATCTCAACTAACACAAAGACTATCCATAACATATAAAAGAAATTCATAAACTCAAATAACATATAAAAGATATTCATAAGCTCAACTAAAGAAAAACCATAATCTCTAGTATTCCTAAAGACTAGCTAACCAAGCTCTCCTCCTAGCATCCGACATTGTAACAAATATTTTCCTCCATTCAACAAGCACAATTTTTTCTAGCATCTTGTTGAATGTGTCATTATCAATATCCCCAATTTCTTCAACAAGTCCGATGCATTCTTCAATATAATACATCTCATTGGAGGTGCTAGATGCTTCAAGACTCTTTTCCTTTTGAATTGTTTGTAATCTTTGGGTCATAACTTTACTGCAAACCTCCAAATAAGATTCCATTTTATCTCAGTTCTTTGGATGACGTTCGGTTGGGGCAGCAGTTACACACTTTCTTTTTCCTTTACCATGATCAATTTCCAGGTTAACACCATCATCATCCAAGTCAACATCAATGTGAACACTGATGTTAAGGAAGTTGTTCTCTAACTCACGATCTTTATTTGAGTTTGGAGGAAGTTGATTAGAGGCATAACGCAACTGACCGGTTGCAGTAGTGGTGTTGAATATCTCCCCTAAAAGCTGATAGTGCACTAAACCTTGAGTGCGATATTGCTTCGCTCTTGGCTTACTCTACAAACCATGAAAATTATTATACTCAAACATCACAAGCAATTCACTGAACTATGTGAAGTGAAGTGAAAAAAAAAAACCACTAAAACAAAGACTTGGTATACCTTAATGTAACTAGCCTAAACATTTTATGAGGCAGTGATTGTGTTAGCAATAAGATCCCACCCAAATCCATTGTGCTCAATTAGATCCGAGAACTCACGATGTGCAATTTACAACCTATTAAACTTAAACTTAAGTTGCTTAATAGTGCATTTTTTTCCACATTTTGCGAACAACTCCTCGCTTATTTTGGACCAAACTTTCTTTTTAAAGGTTGATGCTTGCAAGTCACCCTTCTTCACATGATCATGCAATAAATGTATAAACTCTTCATGTTTGGAAGGTCATTGGACTTTTTCCTCACCATCAACATTCTTGGGGGCCATATCATCATCACTAGTATAAAAACGCAGCACATATCATCATCACTAGTATAAAAAAAGACGAACTCAATATGTGAAACACGTTTTACACCTCCACAAACATATATTTTACCACACGGTCGCTCACTCGTTCACGCGAGGAGAGCCTTGATGGCTAGTTTTAGGGTTTCTCCAGTTTTCTTTACTCATTCTCTGTGCCGTCTCTCTCAGTCTTCTCTGATTGTCTCTTTGAATTCTTCTTGGTGTATTGGGTACGGCGTTTTGTTGTTGTTGCTCTTTTGTTCTCCGTGGGATAGCTGCGCCTTCTTCCTTTTTGGGTTCCCAAGGAGCCAGTCGCTAGTGAGGGGTCATCTTAAAGCTATGTAGGTGACCACCATCTCTTCTGCTCAAGGGGATGAAAAGTATGCGGCACCATGGGGGAATCAGAAGCCCGTGGAAATTGGTGTTAGGCATCTGATTGTTAGTGACATGTCTTTTTCTGGTAAGAGTAGTTTTTGTATCGACGATTTTGTTGACAAGGCGGAGGATACCAGCCTTAAAGGGGTCTCCAAGGTCTCCATAATCATTCTTTTATGGAACATTTGTGGGCTTGGCAACTGATGAACGTTCCTACTATGAAGATCTTTCTTCGGAAATTTCTTCAGGGAAAGAGGCCAATCTTGGTCTCCCTTCCTTGTCAACTGGGGTTCTGGATCAAGAAAATTGGAAGTGTCAGGCACTACAAGAAAACATGCCTTTTGTGAAGAGGGGTAGTCGTCACTGAAACATGGAATTTCGTCACAGTTGAGTATATGTGACGTAATTTTAGCGTCACAGCTTTCGTCACCTATACCCCATCACTGATTCTCCCACGTGACGCTTTCTCTCTTCGTCACATATACCTGATATGTGTGACACATACCGCGTCACTGTACGTCAGATTATGTGGCTATTCGTTAGTCACTTCCTACGGCTATTAGTGATGCATGATTTGGGTCACGATTTAGCTGCATCTGTGAGGAGTTATTCCTCTCCTAAACTTGGTATAAAATGCTCTTTCTATACAATACGTGACCCTTTAGGCGTCACATATTTATGTAGTGTGTGATGACATGCGCATCACATATTTGTTTAATGTGTGACGATGCACACGTCACATAATTTTGTAGTATGTGACGATGTATACATAAGATGTCTTTTTAATTGTGACGATATTGGCATCACATATTTCTTCAGATTGTGATGAGGTCTGTGTCACACATGTTCCATACCAAGGTACCTAATTATGAATAATATGTGCAAATCCAATCACAATTCTCAATTCTCATCTTTTTCAATGTATAGTATAAAAATAGATAATCGCATTTCCATTAATAAAAGTAGGTAATTACATTGTATGTTCCAAAATAAAGATCCCAAACTAAGTCTACACTTTGTACAACCAAAAGTAAGTCTAGAGCAAGTGTGTTCCAAAATAAAGATCCCAAACTAATTCTAGACTTTGTATAACCAAAAGTGAGTGTAGAGCAACTGTGTTTCAAAATAAAGATCTGAAACTAATTCTAGACTTTGTACAACCAAAAGTAAGTCTAGAGAGCAAGTGTATGTTCCATATGGATATAATCCCTAAATCAGTTCTCATCAAGATTCTAGTTTGCTAGTTCATCGTAATAGTCATCATCAGAATGGACACCATTACTACCTCTAGAGCTGGTGCTAGTATGGCCATGAGATGCAGTCAAAACAGACCTCAATTGGGCTCTCAAATCTTCATTCTCCTTTTGTAAAGTGACGAGATTTGTTGTTGCTTCCAAATATCCTGTCAACAACAGAACCATAAACTCCAATTTTTTTGGTATTATGATCAAGTAGGTAGTTGTGTGTGTAAATTAAGTTTACCTTGACATTCATCATTGAACCACCAACTTATGTTTTGACATGAGCTTTTAGAAAACTGTTGTTGCTCCTGCACCACCAGAGAAACTAACGCAATTTCAGCTACTGTGTATTAAACTTTAAACTCAGAATTAAACACCCTAAACTCAATAAAAATCTACCAAATTACATGCATCCTGAAGCTGATTAAATAAACTTTGAAACCATATAAAATTTGACAGAAATGGTGCGCTCTAATTTATAAGCTAAGGCAGTCCAAATAAGTGTCTCAAAACTGAAACTGCAGCCCCTGTTTTTGACAAATTTTGTAGTCATAAGCTGCACAAAAACCAGATTTATACAACTAAATCGCAGAGCACAATCCAATCAGTCTACAATTATAACTTCATGACCCTCCAAAAGTTCTCTAAGGCCATATCAACTTCTAAAAAGTCAGCTTTTTCAAAGAAGATCTTGTATGACCATAACAGTTCCAAGTAATGCCCATTACCAGCCTAACACTTCCTTCACGGTTGGAGCCACCCAAATCATACCAATCTAAGAAAACATGAATTTATGGATCAAAGAGTTATCAAGACAAGATCAAATGACTAAATGAATTTGATGAACAACCCATTTTCAATTACTTGTCCTTTGCCTCAGACATGCTGTACACAATAAGAAAGAAGACAACCCATATTACCTTGATCAACATATATCACATGAAAATTGAGTCTTCCTCCTCTTCATATATGGCTGCAGAAGTTATAATGAGGCTGCTGATTCCGGTTGCCCTACGGTTAAATTAAACCAAAACAACCATTTCAAATTTTTCTTTTGTAAATAAAATACAAAATAAGTAAAAATGGGGAGCTCACCCCTCTTTATGCAGTACAACACCAAGTGAACATCCAATTGTCAGTAAGTTGCATTTATTTGCCTTGCAGTTAATGTACACCATAAACAGAAAGCACAGAGCCAAAAATTGCAGAGACTAAAAGGAAACTAAAGAAACTATCAGACTAAAAGGAAAAAATTGCAGAGACCAAAGGAACGTGTATTGGAGAAAATGGGTGAAGTGGGTGGCTGAGATTAGAGAACCCAACAAGAGGTCTCAAGTCTGGTTCGAAAATGAAAAATAGAACTAAGCAGAAAAATAAATAAAACAAAATTAAAATTCAAGCACAAAAACAAAAGAAGTGAGGAGCTGACTTTTACCTCTTTCCCACCGTCCTCTCACCCAACTTTTTCTACAACCAATCACATGGCCCCTCTTCTAAAAACAAACAGAACCCCCAAATTAATCGATGGTAAAATCCACAATCAAAGAACCTATAATCCACAACAAACCAAAATCAGAAAATCAGTAGACAAATTAGAGAACATTCGAAAAATAAAAATGAAACATTTAAAGATATATACCTTCAACTGAACGAAAATAATGAAAAGAAAGTTAAGAATAGAGAAAGGGTTTCGGTGGGATTTTCTAGGAGAGAGCCAGAGAAACAAGAGAGAGAGAGAGAGAGAGAGAGAGAGAGAGAGAGAGAGAGAGGCTTGCAGTCTGAGATTGAAGAAAAGGTGGGGTGATGAGTATCAGGGGAAGTTTCGCCATTGTTAGTGGTGGAGGGTGGAAGGAAAGCGTTAAGCAGAGAGAGAGAGAGGCGCAGTCTGAGAAGAGATTAGAGAGGATTTGTATTTGGGGGTTAGGGTTGGAGACTATAAAACATGCACCAAACTTAAATTTGGAGGAACAAAAAGAGCGGCACGCAGAAAAAAGAAAAAAAATTGGGGGAAAAAACAGGCTTTCACTGCATGCATGAAAAGCATGCCATGAATGGAAATAACATTTACAGCGTGCATTAAAAGCACGCCATAAATAGTATTAAATTTTGTTTACTTTTTACGGTGTGCATATTTAGCACGCCATTAATAACAACAACAAAAACAGCGTGCAGCGAAGCACGCCATAAAAAATACTAGAAAAAGGTCATTTACGGCACGCACTAAATGCACGCCATAAAAACTATCCTTTTACGGCGCACAATAGATGCACGCCGTAAATACTTACTTTTCTTGTAGTGATATGAGAGAGAGAGAGAGAGAGAGAGAGAGAGAGAGAGAGAGAGAGACGCAGTCTGAGAAGAGATGAGAGAGGATTTGGGGTTAAGTGTGAGTTAGGGTTGGAGAGAGTATATGAGGGTTAACATGCACCAAACTTAAATTTGGTGAAAAAAAAAGAGCGGCACGCAAAAAAATTGAGGGAAAACATTTGTGACGCCCTAAAATATTATTTGTGACCCCCCAAGCATCACAAATAACTGATGGTCTCTCCTGTCCAAAACAGCCAGACTATTTGTGAGGGATTTGGCCTTCCTCCAAAATTGCAGATGTCTTCGTTGTCTTATGAGTGACGACTTGATAAATTCGTCACAAATACCTATTATATGTGACGACTTTACAAGCCTCACTTTCTGTAGTGATAGGTGACGCTGCCAATCTTCACCGAATAAAATTTATGGGCCTTTGTGACGAATGTGCATTATTCGTCACATTTAGTAAAAAAATTGGGCGCCAATATTTCCCGCTATTTAATATGTGACGACATCAGAATTATAACGTGACGAACATGGAGCGAAAATCTTTCTACGTCCCTTCAAGAAGTTTAGGTGATGACTTGCAAAATTCTCTCACTTATACAAGCCAAATGTGACCAAATTTTCAGCGCCACGTAAAATTTGGTCACAGAAGGCCTATTTTCTTGTAGTGAGGTGGTGTTTGGCTGGATATGTTATTATGCTCACAATGCGTTTTTGACTCTGTACGAAGAACTATGATGCTTTCTTTAGATCATAGGAGGCTTTCTTTGACAATACATGCGTAGTGATGGGATGTGTTTTAATGGTTTTCCGATTGGGTAATTGGTTTGATCTATTCTGATACCCATAGTACGTTTTTGACTCTGTACAAATAATTAGGATGCTTTCTCTAGATCATATGAGGACTTCTTTGACAGTACCTACATAGTGATAAGATGTTATTTTAAGGGTTTTGTGGTTAGGTTTTAGGTTTGTCTGTTTCGTATAAGTTGTTTGACTCTTCTGTTTAGTCAATAGAATGGGTGGTACTCTTTCCTACCTCGGGGTTTTGTTTTCTCTGGGAAGGTTTTAACAAAGGTCGCCGTTAACATGATAGTTCTTACCATGTAATAATGTTTCTTTCGGTTTAATGAGATACAATATTTTCTCAACGAAAAAACACATATTTTACCACTTCCTTTAGAAGCCATGTTACTTTTTGCTTCTTATTTTAGTGCATATAAATATGTTTTTTTTTTGTTTTTTTTAAATTCTGTGAACATAGCACCCATTGAACTATAACTCGACTAGATTGCAAATTTACCCCAAATCCTCTTGTAGTAGTAAATTACGACCTTAATTAAAGAAATCATCAAGTGCAAACTAATAACATATAAAAGAACACAAGGACTATCCATCAATATAATAACATATCGAAACTTAGTACCCGATCTCAAAGGAATTATTGCCATTAATATTTTCAGTTTTAGACAAAAAGAAAAAACAAAAAAAAGATAGCCTTTCTTCTCGAAATTAGCTTAAGTGATTTGCATTTGGAAAATTGAAATGATCAAGTTCCTTGTCTTTTTAATAGGGCTTCCTTATTGGTTGTGTTTGATCATGAAAGGGGAGGAAATGGTATTTTTGCATGTACTTAGTAGGTGCTTTCTTTGCTATGTGTTAAAGTAGAAAGAGCCACTTAGAACTATTCCAGTTAACTTTGCTACGAGGGAACCGGCAGCTACCTGGAAGTTCAATGGAAGTTTATGTAGATTTTTCTCATTATTTGAGGTTTTCTTGATATTGCAATTTTTCTTTGGTTCAAGTCCAACGGTGATTGTTTGGGGGAAGAAATGAAAACAAAAGACAATGACGAGGAAAAGGGTTATATGATATATACTTTTAAGAGTCTGAATGAATAATTAATGAGTGGTTTCTAGAAATACAACTTGGAAATTTCTAACTCCCCCAAATGGCCCCTTTTTTAGGAGAAATTATACAATACTACCGTAGTACCAGCTGGCGTTGCTGATTGGTACTACGGTCCAACAAGATTCAGCCATGTGTACAGCTTAGACATGCAACAGAATCATAAAGTTTTGCCGTTAATGCCGACGTTAAAAAAAAAATTGAACGCTCTGTGATGGGGATGCCCACCCAAAGGCTTGATGAAGTCCTCCCAATGCTGGCTTTTAGACCATGATAGCGTCAATATTTCAGATCTAAGATTAGATCAACAAATTTCTATGCAATAATATTCTTTGACCAATTGTTGTGCAACAAAATTATTTGACATTGGGTCATTACCCAAAAAGGCAAAGGCTTTGATGGACTTTTGTTTTCAATGTCAATTTCATCTTATAGCGTGTCGAGAACACTTAACATGGACCAGTTCTTGATGTTTATTTTTTGAACATGGACCATTTCAATTTCTTTGGGCTTTTGTTTTCAATGTTAATTTCATCTTCCAGCGTGTCGAGAACACCTAACATGGACCATTTCTTGATATTTATTTTTTGAACATGGACCATTTCAATTTCTTTGGGCTTTTGTTTTCAATGTCAATTTCATCTTGCAGCGTGTCGAGAAAGTTGATTAAAAAGAGTTTTATTACTCTACTTTCCTTATTTTAAGCTTTTCCGCATTATTAGAAGGTTTTTGAAGGAAAATCGACTTTCCGAATGAGTTTTAGTGCAAGGCAAAGTGGAGAAGAAACTAAGACATTGAAGATCATTGTGTCAAATTTTCATAATTTTCTATGAAGATCATTGCTGTACTTTCCCACTTTGGAAATATTCACAGCAGATACTTGCATTGCATGGATTTGTTTATTCTTTTTTTTTATCTCTCTCCTTTTTTCAAAGAAATAGCTTTTATATAATTTTAGTTTCTTAATAATTTTATTGGTCATCCACATGTTTTGGTTCATTATTATCCGCTCAACAAAATATACGGCAAATTGATATGGATATTAACATCAAACGGAATAAACCGTTATGCTTTTGTCAAACGTCAAAGCAAGGTGCGTTGGCTTTGTACGTAAAGGTTTATGCCTTTCTTAACGTCACATTGTTAGTAACGTCGCACATTAAAGACAACGTATGGAATATGGCTGCCCGTCGATGAAGTGTCAAATGGTTTGATGAAGCCAACAACTTCTTTTCTAGAATAGTTTTGAAGATTGATTAATATCTCAATTACTTTGAAGATTGATTAATATGTTTTTTTTTCTTCCTTAGACTAGATATCTTAAAATGGACGGTAGAGGTGAAGTATATAAAACATGGGGAAAAAAAAAAAAAAAAAAAAAAAAAAAAAAAAAAAAAAAAAAAAAAAAAAAAAAAAAAAAAAAAAAAAAAAAAAAAAAAAAAAAAAAAAAAAAAAAAAAAAAAAAAAAAAAAAAAAAAAAAAAAAAAAAAAAAAAAAAAAAAAAAAAAAAAAAAAAAAAAAAAAAAAAAAAAAAAAAAAAAAAAAAAAAAAAAAAAAAAAAAAAAAAAAAAAAAAAAAAAAAAAAAAAAAAAAAAAAAAAAAAAAAAAAAAAAAAAAAAAAAAAAAAAAAAAA